ATCCTATCATAATGGCAATTTTATAAGTGGAATCAATGTATTTAGACTTATATTCAGAATGTCAAAATCGAAAAACAAACGTTTCAACTTAAACTATTTAAAAAATCCCATCCTAGACATTTAACGTACTATTTTGTGTTGGTTGAAAAAATATTAGTTTTCACACAAAGTATTATCGATCACTAATATCGGTCTACGAGGCCAAGAAATGTTTGAAGAATTTCGTTAATGTTTTGGAAAGACAAATCGAAGTTGGGTTAATTACAATATTTCCCAGAGAATCCCAATATGATACATCTCCCTTCAAGGAACAAATTATGAAACAGTATGGGCAACGTTTCATTGCATTTCCGAGGGATACTAAACTTAATGCTTCCTCGCTGAGGGTAAGTGATAATGTTCATTACACCGAGGAAATCTATTCCAAATGTTTTCGGATTATGAGACGCACCAAGTACGGCGCCGCATCCGGATAAAGACCCAAATTGCATAGTCGCGCCGAGACCTTGCTTCTGGAAAGTCTGGACTTAAGGTCTGGAAAGTCTGGACATGAGTAGCGACGTGCGCCGAGAAAATCTAGAGATACCATAATTTGGTCGCGAAAGTCTAGACATGGGTCGCGAAAGTCTGGACATACCAAAATTTGGTCGCGAAAGTCTGGACATGGGTCGCAACCTTTTTTTTCAAAAATTGTCAAAAACTTTTATGTTAACTTGCTAATTTTATCAAATACCGTAAAAACCTTGGTTTTTCTTGTTCTAATTCAAAAAAAAATTACCATTTAACTTGAATAGATCAGGAGTTAAGAAGTCTTGATTGTGGTCAAAAAATCGTATTGCAAAACAAACACCAAATATAATCAATTTTTGTGTCGTTTTGAACTCAAAAGGTGCCTAAACTGTAAAAACCGGTCAAATTGGACCTTTCAGCTATCATTGTACCTAAATTTGATATTTTTATGTGTTTTCGTTTTAGCGTTCTTCCTCAACATGTCTGCTAGGTGGAACCAATCCAAGATGAATGGCGAACAAATTGGGCTACATTAATTGAAACAATTATTATTGCATCTATCACAATAGGTCGTGTTTTCAAAAATTTTATTTCAAAATTGATAAGGAAAAAGACTCGGTGTTAAATATTTCACGGGTAGCTGCAATTAAAATGCTTTAGTTCAATGAAAGACTGCAGACAAACGTCTTGATTCGATAAATCTACAGATGCGACGGTTTCTGATATCTTTCTCAATAATGATTGATCAGCAGTTTGGATACCAAAACTAGAACATTGCTCATTGCATCTATCAAATTAAGGAGTTTTTTTACTCAAAAGTACACTTCAATGTTATTTATCCACAGTTTTTTTGTGTACATGCAATTTCGATGTTCTAGTTTGATTAAAGAGTGCAATTGGAACCTCTTGATTCAACAACATTATAGATGTTATAACTTCTATTAATCCTTGTTTCAACGATGACTGATGCAACGAGCAACTTGGACACAAACATTGAAACATTTTACTGCATCCAGGAGAATAAATAGATTTTTTTGTTTTTTCTACTTGGAGATTTTTTTATGAATTAATCTCAAAAAAGACAATTCAAACTTGATGGTTGAATGAATTTTACAGTTTTATTTCATTATACTGTCAAGCAACTTAATGTTTTCGTTGAATAAAGACTTAAGTAATGAATTTTATTTTCGAAAAAAAAAAACAGATGTTACGGCTTCTAATATCCTTCTCCTTAACATTGGTTATGAGCTTTTTGGAAAAACTATTACATTCCGCCAATGATACATTAAACGTCATATTGCCCAGCATAATGTTTTGTGATTAACCACGTAGTAATTCGATTGTTATTTGATGAAACATTTCATTAAAAAAGATTTTTTTTTTGTTTTGTTTCAAAGTAAGAAAATAGTGACAAACTCCGGCTTAAACTTTCTATGAAAAAAATCAAGTTTCAAGATGATGAAAACTTTGAAATATAGCAAAGAGTTTAACCAGTTAAATATTTTATATTGTTTTAAATGTGTCCATCGCAAATGTGTATATCTTGTATAGTGTAAGTTTGTTTAGATGTCTATAAGATAAAAATACGTTCAGCTTGACTTTTTTCAGAGGTTAACTCAATTAAGTTCATCAAAGAGATGAATACTTTTAATCGAATTGGCGTGACCCCGTTAGCTTAATTGATTTCATTTGATTGGCGATTTTTGGGTATTTTTTAATCGAACAATTTCTTAAGGGTTCTCATTTTTGATGATAGCCATATGAAGCACATGGAGAAGACTTCGAAACATATGAATACATGTATCCTGATTATCAAGAGTGCTCTCGATTCTTTGGAATCTCTGGAAGAAATTTATGGCAATGAGGGAATTATGTTCAAGAAATCGAGAGGCTAAATCCTCTGATCAGTGATGACCCTTCGATAACTACAAATTAACCAATTTAAGCTTGAAGTTTTTCAATTTATTCACTTTAAAATCTTAGCTCCTAAACTTCTGCAAATAAATTTGACAAGGTTTTTATTGAGATAAACAAATCTTAAATTGATTTTCTGAAGACACAAAAATGCAAGACACAACACAGCAATACACTATCTGTGAAACATTGCTGTGTTTTAAGATTTTTAAATGAGATCGGAGCTAAACCTAAAATAGGAAAACAATTGAATCCTATCATAATGGCAATTTAATAACTGGATTCAATGTTCATTACACCGAGGAAATCTATTCCAAATGTTTTCGGATTATTGTAAAAAACTGGCTAATAAAAAGTAAATAGTCGTAACTCAAAGTAAATAATATTATAATATGTGGATCTAAAAGCTCGTTAGTTATATTCGTGTTCAAGTTGAAAATAATCTGTTGGTCATTCAACAGTAGTAAGCCAAATAACTGGAAAGTATTGAAATATGTTGAAAAGTATTTCGGCTTAAAATTTTACGAAACTCTGCGTTCAACGCTTAGATTTCGTTTAATTAAAATTCAATTTGCTGAACTGGGCAACATATTTTGAAATTTACACGAATTTGAAATGGCGCCAAAGGGAAGGGCGAAAGTCAAATGTCTGTGAACTATGAACTCTTTTCATTCTTCAATCATCTCAATTCTGCGACAAACATTTGCCAAATGAGAATCTTCAAAATGTAGTGGGAGTAGGTTTGAAATTAATAGGGTTATACTTTAAATTAATCGTTTTTTAACACCTTTTCAAGGGAAGCCATAAATTTTTTATAGTGGTTTCCTGTTTATAGCATTTCCAAGGGGGTTTTGGTTTTTTCTTAAGAAAGTACACAAAAGTGAGTTGGACAGGAAATCGGGGACTTGGATAGCACTTGATTAAACATTTTTGTTTTATTAAAACCTATATTGAAAAAATTATAACTCATGCATAACAAATCACCATTTTAATTTTCAAAATTTTGCACTTCGAAGAAAAAAATAAATGGCCTTAAAGCTCTTTGACTTTCTAAAACAATTTATGATGGACACTTTATGCTAAAATTAACCCATTTTGAGAAAACTGGATCAATAGGCAAAACTTTTATTTCACTGGGATATCTGATAACTAATTTCCATTTTCGAAATTAGAAGTCGATCACGTTTTTCGTGACCTTTATATTATTGCTGTTCGATAGTGGTTTTTTCCTTCCTTTTTGCAATGAACTGAAAAAAAAAAAATCACAAGTCAAAGCACGAAAAATCAAAATTGAGCGTGAACAAATTTTTAGACTTTTTCCTGAAAAAAAACAAACTAAAAAAAAATCAGCAAGACCTAAATAAGAGTCTTCACTACGTTCATCACTCTTAATCATCGCTATGTTTGATACAGCTGTAGTTGATTATTTAATTCAGGTGTATCTAATTTTATCCAAAATGGTGCATTTAGTTTACATGAAGTTGGCTAGTGTGGTTAAACTACGCTCCATTTTACTATAACATGTGATGATGTCGACCAACCAATCAAGAAGGCGTAAAAGAAAAGGAAGATTACCAGAAAAAAAAGAGAGGAACAAAACAAAGCAGAGAGCGAAAGAGCTGAAGAACAAAATTACCTGCATTGAAGATAACATTCTCAGCCATATTACATCTTTCGCAATTTAGCAAAAGATCACCAAAAGAATCATTTTCCTCTTATATTTTGATACTGTGAATAGAATATGACAATTGATTGTATGGATCTTTTGCCATTACTTTGAATATTTATCGATTCTCCTGTTCGTTTCTCTTCAAAATTCTGAATTAAAAATAAGCGCCACTTTCTTTGTATCAAAGATTAGCTAGATAGACCAATGAACACAGTGACATCCACCAGAAAACCATTGGAGGTGATACGGACGCCACCAATCAGCATCCACAAAAAATATCGAGCGTATCAGTAACGATATGACAAGGGTTAATAAGAAGAACGAGGGGCTTTTGTGATATTTTAACGGATTACATTTTTATCAAACTAAGGGCATAACAACTGCCTAGCTATTTGATTTTCTTCCATAGACTTGATTAACTGTTATTTCAATAGACACGCCTTAATCACGATATAAAGTCGACTTTTTTTTTATCTGCACAAATATCATCCATTTTTTAATTGTCGACTCTGGTTTTTGGGAAGAAGGAAGTGATAACTCCGAATCATTGACGCTTTATGCATTGTCTACATTTTGTAGCGAAATTGAGATGCGCTAGTTGATAGTCGCCAAACTAGAAGCTAATAAAGATTTTCGTTAAAATTTGATAATAATGATTATTTGTTCCATCAAATGTTCGACATGTTTCTTTTCAATGCTTTTTAGAAGATTTTGGTGATGATTTTTAGTCTGAACAAAAAGTTTGATAATTTTTTGGTCAAAAAATAAATAATTACACATAAAAGGCGACCATCAATATCATATAAAAATAATTGACTCATTTAGTGGCGAAAACTGACAAAAGTTGGTACATTTTAAAATGATAATCTGAAAAATTAATTGAGTAAACTAATTGATAATTCTGCACTATATACAGTTGCTAAGTTGTGCTTTAACTATGTTCTTCCAGCAATTATCAACTGTCGCCGATTTAAGCATCAATAAGTAAACTGTAGTAGAAATGTAATCTAATCTAATCTAATCATCGTTTCCGTCTCGTCTCAAATTCCTCAGTCTGGCTTCCAGGTCAGCATCCACATCAGCCGAGTTGAGTCCACCGCCTGCAGCTCCACCTGGAAAAACAAGTAAATCATCACAATTATCATCATCATCATATAAATTGTTTACTGAACTTATGAAATCTTTCTGATTTCGGCTCTTTTTAATTTACCCCTACTTAAGCTCGATAAATTTTCAAACACGGGCAACGGCAACGAAATGCTGTCTTACAAAATCAGAAAGTCAAAATTATCAAGGCAACAAAATTTGGACTTTGGAACACCCTACGTTAACATCCTTCGGTCAAGAAATATGTTGTAGGACTTTATTTCACTCACCCCCTGCGGCCGGAGCTCCCCCTGGGACTGCAATCCTGTTGGGTCCATTTGCCTCTTTGCCCCCCGTTGCCAGAGAATCATTAGGCACGGCTGTCAATCCATCTCCAATCGATAAGCCCAATTCACCCAGCACCTAAAACAAAGTCAAGTAATCAACACACATGTTAATGATTAATTAACAGTCCCAAAGATCGGATTACATTTTTTATTGAGGTCTTTCTGTGAAAACTCATCAGATAACTGAAACCGCAAACTGGAAAATGAGCTAATATTATAACACCATTGCCAGCGACAGGAGTAAAAAAAAGGAGAAGAGTATGTAAACTCAAGCAGAACTTAAAAATGCAAGAGTTTCGTTTTTAGGAAAATTTTAGATGCTTTCGTAAAATTTGAGCCAATTTTTTGTAAACTTTTTTCGAGTGACAATTACAAAAATCCAAAAAAAAAAAAAATTTGTCGAGAAAACCAATTTGAAGTTTCTATTCGGACAAATCTAGTGTAAAAAAAATCTTCAATTTAGTAATTTAAAGCTAGTGAAGGCAACAATAATTAATTACTATGCATTTGAAAGCCGTTAGCAGTTTGCTCTAAGCTTACTTTTGGACCTCATATTTTAAAATCTGTGGTATTTTAAAATCAAGCGTATTATTGACATCAATAACAGAATCCGGAACCTTCTTTCATACTGGCAAATCCGCCAGCTAGCCTTGTTAACCGCATAATTTCAACCCCGCGACTTGTTAAAAGATGCTACCGTCCTGATGTTTTTAAACATACACTAAAATGGCCGTTTTAAAACGTTCCAAACCTGGCACTAAATGTTATTGGCAAGAAAAATTGGATCGGGACCTTTTAGTAATGGCACAGCAGCCTACTTGTTACTCTTGTTTATCTTCTTTATGAAATGATGTTTGCCATCCCCCTTTGATCATTTCAAAAACCGCAAATCAAGTACTGTTGTACTAACTTGTGACTTGTTCAATTATGTTACCGTCCTGATGGTTTTAAACACATCAAAAATAGCCATGCTTCAAAACTATTTTAAAACAGAGTTTTGACAGTAATTTTTTAAAAACGGTTTTAAAAACCCTGTTTAAAAACGTGCTACCACTGGTAATGATGTCAGTTTCCTCTTCCCCTCCAATAATTTCTAAGCCCCGCGAATTAAGAATTTCGGCAGAATTATGTAATCTAGTAGTTTCCTGATGTAATGTAATTTATGGTCGGGACCTGATTGAGAACATTGTCCGTCTCCTCCTCGTCGTCTGAGGCCCCCATGGCGTCATCGATCGCATCTGTGATCATCTCACTCTTCATGTCCATCATCTCATTCTGTCTGTCAAATTCCGCTAACAACTTCTGGAACTGCGGCAGATTCACCTACACGTGTAATAATACCTAGTAACGAACTGCCACCCTATAAAGAACTAATTCAACGGTTAAGAATATTTGAATTATGTACCTAGTAGAGAATCTCCCATCCCCTTTTTGCAAAGAGGGAGGGGGAATAATAAGAAATCCATAAATTGTTGTCAGACAGTTTTGCTCACAAAACCAGACAAATAAACGGCGTGTAAAATAAAAAGAACTAAAACAGAATTTTCGTTAGCTGACAATAGGACCAATTTAAATCCGGTGGGTTTTTATCCGGAGCGATTTTATCCTGGGGGATTTAGTCCGCGAGCGCAATCGCCAGGACACAATCCCCCAGGATATAATCCACCCATAGGACTCAATCCCATAGGACAAAATCCCCCATATTTCAACTAATCATCCAAGAAAAATAAAAGAATATATTCAAAGCATTATGAATTGAGTTTTCAATTGAAACTACTTCCAATTAAATTCATTTGAATTCACAACTTAACAAAAGGATTTTCACATCTTAACAAAAGGCATGCATTGCCATTTTGAAGTGAATTTTTAGAAACTTAGTAGTAGTTAGAACATAGTTGAAAGATGCCCAAGGGAAAAAGAGCCCGGCCTGAGGGCACGAAGTGCCCAATGGCGGCTCTTTTGCCCGTGACCATCTTCAACTATGTTTTAACTGTTGAAGAGAATGTTTTTGCTCCTTCTGAGGGAAAGATTCCGGAAAATTGTGAGAGCCAGGAAAAGTGCGCGAAACTATGCAAATAATTTCTTTTTTCATTCATACGTTCTAATAATCCATTTTTCATCCATCCCTTGTCGTGAAAGAACATGTGTGAAAGCGCAAAAACATAATCTTCAATAATCCAACTTCATTTGACTTTATACAAGAGAGCGCTTCTATCACCAAAAATGACAAGCCACGTCCCCAACATCAAAGTTGAATCAGAAGATTTCGGCAAGAAAACAGATGCCACCCACCCATCCCAACTGGTCTTGATTTAGAACTGCCAGTGAAGTATATGCAGACTCTAAATGAGGAAGACTTTCTTCCTGAAGATCAGTGGTTCCAGGAAGCGAAAAGCGATACTTCGTTTTTGCCACGAGCAACAACGCCGATGTTCTCAATTGTTATGAAAACCGGTTCATCGATGCAACATTTAAGAGCTGTCGGGAAAACGTTAATCAGGTCTACGTAGTGTATTGTTTTGTTGACGGCACAATTTTCCCTTGCATTTACGCACTTCTATCGGACAAGCGACAAGACACACAATGGACTCTGGTCTAATCTAAAGCCAGCATTAAAGAACCAGTTTCTGTTATGATGGACTTTGAAATGGCTTCGATAACCACCGTGGAGGATAATTTCCTGAAACCGAAATCAAGGGGTGTTTCTTTCAATTTTCTCAGACTATTAACAGAAAGAACCTTGAATTCGGTTATGCTGTTCTTGTGGTTCAATATCGGGAGGACAAAGATTTCAATTAGTCCATACGCCTCTTGGCTACGCTTGCTTTTGAAGCGCCGCTTCATGTATATGAGTGGTACAAAATTCTGATCCAGAGCTACCAGATCCCAGAAGACATTAACAATTACTTAGGGATAAATTTGTCGGAAAGGAAAACCGAAATGCGTCACGGAGGAAGGCCAGGTTTCACAAAGATATGTGGAATGTCTATCACCGTACAATTGACGACCTGTCAAGAACAAACAACGCTCTTGAAGGATTTCACCAGTTTTGAGCCGATCTTAGAGATGCCCAACCCAGATATCTGGAAATTATACGAAGCCATCCAAAAACAGCAATCGCAACAGGGCTTTACTTTGTCTCAGTTGCAGTTGGGAAAGAAAGTGCACGCGAGGAAGAAAAATAATTTTGGGCGTATGAAACGCATAGTATGTTCAGCGGCTAATTACAAGGAGATTAACTACTTGAAAGCTATCGCTGTTAATTTTTCGTTTTATTTTAGTTCTATTTTTGGTTTAGTTATGTTTATGCTTCTACTTTAACCTTCACTCTATTTATGGTCACCAAGAGTAGTTTAGTTTTCCGAGATGCGTTTTTGCTTAACGCTAATTTGGCTGATATTAAAAAAAATACTGGGGGATTTTGTCCTGGGAAGATTTAGTCCTGGGGGATTTAGTCCGCGAGCGGAACAAAATGACTTGAAAATCAGAAGTCGCTAGCGAGAAAAAAAAACATTCAAAGAACCGCCGCTTAAAATCCGTATTAAGTGAGCACTTCGCTTTCAGATATCAATCTATGTTCCATATCATTAATATGAATGACGATCATCCATATCATTAGTTGTTCACATGGTATTTACTTGTTTCACTTATTTTTCATATCATTTCCATTGTGTTCGCTTTTTTTAAACCAATTTTAACGTGTCCTACCTTTTTGTTCATCCTCTGCATAGCTTTAGTCACTCCTTTCATGCTCTGTGCCATAGTTGTACTACTCTTAATAGTTGTCAGCTTCATCTGCACTCCTTGTATGTTAGCTCTCATCAGGTACAGTTTCTTAACATTCGCCCTTGTTCTTACTAAGTCTCTGGCCATTATCTTCACTGCGTCCATTTGTCCATCTTTGGCTTGTTTTTTGATGTCATTTTTTAACTTAGTCTCCTAAAAATAACAGTGCTGAACAAAAAAGACTTAAGAAGATATTTTAGATGGAATTGTTTTTTCTCTCTTCCTCCGAAGACAAAGCCGGATTTTTTTCCGAAAATCACAAAAAAAGTAAAACAGACTTTGTCCAGGACACCGTTCTGTCAGCCTTCTGAGGGCCATTTTGCTGGCTCATAACCAATACAGTGAAACACTTGAAAAACTGATGAGAAAAGCTTGTCTTGATGTGGCCGCAAAACGATGCCAGTACATCCACATTCGAATTCAATTTTAAACAGCAACTGACCTGCCGCTCCATGTTCGTTCTCTCTCTGTCTATCTCTCTAATAGATTTATCAAGCAGTCTTTTGTTCTCCCGCAACATCTGCTCCGGCGTCTTCCTACTCCCGAACAGAAACGACATCTTACCCAACTCAGTTGATACTATTATGTAATAATTAACTGACAATCAAAATCAATTCAATCTGAAACAGAAGAATATCAAAACACGAGTAAGTTGCACAGGATGTTCCGATCACAAAAATTCAAGAAAAAAAAACATTTTTTAACTTAATGATTTCTCTTATATACCACAGATTGAACTTTTAAGAACATTGAACTGTGTAAATCTTGTGAAAACCTGAACAAATTAAATAGACCTTTGAATACACTAAAAGGATTAACAATATCTGCATTGATAATGATAAATTATGAACCTTTTTTTTTTCATTTTAAGATTGGCTGTATTAATTGAAAACAATTAAACTATAAGTAGTGATAACGTGGAAACTGTGGTCAATTTGAATAGGGAGATCAACCTCTCCTTAAATTCTTCTTCAAAAATTTCAGACTAAATTAGAAGAAAAAATGGAAAATTTTAAGACCACTTGTTCTCGACACTGAGATCACTTTTTCAATTTTTTAGAATCCGAATGACAACCGAGAGGTTTTTTAATTGATACTACATTTGACCTGCTACGAGCTTTTCTTGAGGTTGGCAAAATTGTCTGGAAATAATTAAAAACGGACCCTAATCCATAGTTACTTACTATTCTTCGAGAATGATCGAAACAATAAGAAACAAAACAAGGAATGGTCTGCAACATCCCTTTTACGGCAGTTAGTACTTGTGAAGGTTTGGTCAATAATTCAACAATTTGCACTAAAAAATTTCATTTCTGAATGATTTATTTCTTTCTGAAACACGATTTTTTTTTCACAATTACCTTATTTTAAAACTAAACAGTCTTAACCGCCAATATTCCGTATAAGCTTCAAAAACACTACGCCCATACCCACCTCATCATGCATTGATTTGCTTAGATTTTTAGATGCCGAATTGCACTGTGTGAAATATACCGAATATAACGCTGATTCAGATAAAACAAAAGACTTGCTCAAAATAACCAATGACGAAGAATAGTGTCAAGCAATTCCAATCTACGAATTTCTAAAATTAACTCAATCCACCCAGCCCCTGCTGATGCTTGTAACTATGATTGCGTCATGCCATTTTTACACGATCGAAGCTGAGCTTCGCACCAGTTGCGATACAAAACAAGAAAGACGCTAAGTATTACAAATCAAAACTAACTAAGTAAAAATGAACAAGGCTAGTCGTGAAAAACACGCCAAGACAATAAAACGTGAGATAGTATCGGAAAAAGATTACCAAGTTGTAAAAAAGCCGAAAATACCTTTGCGGAAACCCTTTAAGCCGAAAAAAAATCAACAAGACTTAACAAAGTTAATGAGTCCCCCTTGCCCTCAAATTACACACACATACAAAACTTTGTTTGCTGAATATAAAATAGGCTAAAATCTATTAAGCCCAAAAATGAATTGACAAAATGAACAAGAAAAACCGAAAAAAAAATCATTCAAAAAAAACGTAAGCCTAATAAAAAGTAATTCAGTCGCCCTCACTCTCAAAACACACACCCACACGCACATACAATTTTTTCTCACCCATCGAAAAACGCAATATGAGGCCATTAATCCAATTTAAAATAAGTCAAAACCTATCAAGCGAAAAAGAAAAAAATGAAAGCAAAAATTGTTGTCATGTGAGCCTATAATTTCTATTAACATTTTTAACATTTTGTGCAATCTAGAGGAGCGCATATAAATTACGTTTCCATTGTAGCAACTCAAAAATAGGACTCTAAGCCGATAAAATATGAGTCGAAATCATATGGGCAAACAAACCAACATACAAAAAAGAGTCAAGGTTAGTAAAATTATAAACAGAAGAAAAAATTCAAAACACTTAAAGCAACTACAATGAAACTTGCGTACTAAAAAAACAATTACGCGATAATGCAACTAAGCGAACAAAACATAAGCAGACAAATAATACAAGGACATTTTTTTGAAACCGAGTATTTAACATTTGAAAAAAAACAGTTCTTGACAGGTTTTGAACCCAGAGCCTTTGACGTCCCAGGCGTACTCTTTACTTCTAGACCTAGCCAGTCAGGTCTGCGTCCCACCCTCCCTTGGCATCATGTTTGCGTAATTTTAGTCTTAATATGCGCACACTCCGGCAGTTTTGAATGGTTGGCAGAGCAGCTGAAAACGCTTTCGCATGACAAATGCGCCCAAAAAATTTTAAGAAAATTCTGGCTTTTTTCTGGTTTTTTTTTCGTATTAATTTCAGCAATTTCATCATCTTTCACAACAAATCATAAAAATTTGAGGCAGTTTACAATGAATTTTTGTAGTTCAAACTTTCTATCTGGCTATATATGACCTAAACTAATGAAGCTAATGTAAGACAGATCTGAAGTAAAATTTCTTTTTTTTTTTACTACAAATTTCGGTTAAACGCCCAAATAAGAAAAAAAGAAATTTTCAGCGTTTTTGGTCCCACGTTCACCATATTTCCTAACATCCATTTCAGAATCCAATATTTTCAACTTACAAAATTTTTCATTTTTCAACCCTTAAATGACCGTCTTAAAAAGTGAAATTTTAATTTTTCGCGAAAGCCAAAAAAAAATTATTCCGAACGGTTTATAGCATCATACCACATTTCTTAGGCGCTAATAGAAAGTTCTTTTTGACCAACGCCGAAAATTTTACTGAATTAGAAAAAAATTTAAAAAATCACTTTTTGGGGTCGTTGGGAAAAGGTCAAAAATAACCAAAACCCATCTCAAGAATAAAACCATCAAAAAGTGGCATTAACAAATGGCCAATCTTTCCGGGGTTTATATAGCGTCGTGGGCACGCGCCCATCAAGTGTGCTGGAGACGCATAAAAATTGAGTTTATTTTGAACTGAACCTAAACTTTTTTAGTTTTGACCACTCTGTGAACTAAGTTATTTACGGGAAAAAAGTCTAATTGCTTCTATATAAAACATATGAGAGAACAACAACGAATTGAATGCAACCTTAACATTAGACATAGGAATACAACAACGCTTTTGATTTTATAAAACTGAACGACAAGTTAGTTCCAACTGAAAAGGTCAAACCTCCAAACTACTGGGTTTCAGATCTTCGTGTTTTTAACTCATAAACGAAACCCCAAAATGGCCGACTGCACTTTCAAAAACAAAAAAAAATTTGAAAAAATTTCACTAGCAAAAATCATTAAATGCATTAATCGGATTCACAATCAATCGAATTTTATTTTTAAATATCGGACTCTTATTTTCTATGTATTTCTCAGTTCAAAGAAAGTTTTCGAAAAATCATAAATCAACAACTTCTAAAAAATCAAAAAACGTACGAAAAATTATAAGAAAAGGAGGCCACATCTGCATCGGTTGGTCGTAACCTAAATCACCCCACCAAAGGGTCGACATTTTCAAAATTTGGAAAAAAAACCTTGAAATTTAACTTTTGAATAATTTCTGTAAAGATAAAAACGTCAAATCTAAGAAAGTAAAAGGCGTTCGGCAGCCAAACTTGTAGTGCCGATAACCATCCTGAGAGTCCCTTGAGAGCAGCCCAATAAGTTGTTGAGTATTTCAAACTTTGTGCAGTTTTTTTAGATCTAAGTTTTTTTGAAAACTTTGAAAAAGTATAAAAAAACGGCATATCTGGGAAAAAAATGATTTGAGCAGTCAAATTTAGAGTCAAGTTCTGGAACATCTGAAAATACTCTGAGAGCACCCAATTGTAGGGCTGGGAATTTTGAAACATTTTTATCAAGTTTTTTTAGTTGAGAACAAACGCTATTCCTCAAAAAGTAAAAGAATTTCAGTTGTCACAGTAGGAGGCAAAGCTTGTAACCCTTAACACTATCCAGCTAAAAGAATCGTGAAACTCCATTACTGTGGAATTTGATTTATCTGTTTTGAAAACTTTTCAAATAATTATTTTAAAAAAAACGTCATATCTCGGAAACCAAAAGCATTTGAGCAGTCGCCTTTGCGGGCAAGATTTACAATCTGTGAGAGTACCTCGACAGCACCTGACTACAGTTGTGAGTTTAAAGTTTTGTGATTTTTTAAATTTAAATTTCTGAAATTTTTTGAGAAAATCATTAAGAACGTCATATCTCGGAACTTGTGAGATTTGAGCAGTCGAGTTTTGAGGCAAGATTTGCAACCCCTGAGAGTACTTTAAACACGGAGTTAATCTGCGCTTCGCAGCAGTTGCAATAGACCCCAAACCATACTATTTCATGCTGACGAAAAAAAAAACAGACGATAACCAGTAGGTCAACAACAAATTTGAAAAAATCTACGCTAATTTCATACGCTTGACTCGGCTTATGTTCAACTTAATGCCAAAACTGTCGCAAAACAAAATTACCACGTCAAATAAGCATTTAGTATCGCCAACCAAGCACCACTACTAAGCCGACAAAACTCTGGTAGAAGACCGTTTAGACGAACAAACAAAAGGCCATCAAAAATTACTTCAATTAGGACTGTGTAACTTTTGATGCTTAAAATTCCGAAAAAAGTATAATGCAGAGCGTGACTTGTATTGAAAAGGCCTCACAGTATTTGGCTTCTGTATGGAGACAATTGCTCTTAGAACAATTGGTTGGAAATACCTTGAAAATGACTTAATTCTCAATTTAACAAATCATTGCTTGGGTTGCGGGGGGGGGGGGGGGGGGTTAGTTCGTCTCATGCAGCTAGTTTTCGGGAAGCTATTCAAATAGTTCAATTGAAATTATTATGAATTCCACAAAACAACTGGAAAAATAAATAATTAAAATATACTAAAAATATCTACTAAATTCATCTTATGCCGAGCGCTTACATAAAATTTGATATCAGCTGATGGTGTTACAAAATGGAATGGCAGTTTATGGCTAAATCCAATATCGGAAGAAAATGTAGATTTCCGCAAAAGCAACTACAGAGGCTATAATAACTCCAGCCATGACTCTGATGGCGAGTTCTGTACTAAAATATGCGGCCAGCCAATGTCCCACAAAATAGGTCAGAGCAAGCGATATGAAAAAGTTTGCAACCATCGAGAGTTGCTTGTTGACACTTTTGTCCACGACTGGT